CTCACACCTGCAATCCCAGCACTCTGGGGGGCCAGAACAGGTGGACAACTTGAGTTCAGGAGTTAGAGACCAGCCTGAGCAAGAGCAAGACCCCATCTCTATTTAAAAAAAAATTTAGCTGGGCATTGTGGTGGACGCCTGTAGTCCCAGCTACTCAGGAGAGGCAAGAGAATCACTTGAGCCCAAGGGTTTGAGGTTGCTGTGAGCTATGGTGCCACCGCACTCTACTGAGAGTGATAAAGTGACACTCTGTCTCAAAAAAAGAAAGAAGAATGATATAAGGTATTTCAAGTAAACTGGCAAACTCAAAACTTGGGAGATAAAGTATTTAGGTGGTGGTTTGAGGGTTAGTATAGATGAAAGGATCTGGCTAATGTCAGATATGACACAAACACTTATTTTAAAACAGGGAGTGAGGCGTTAAAATATTTTTTTAACTGAGCAACCTACATGCACATGAGTGGAAGTTTGTTTAAACATCGATATGACAGAATTCTAGACAGACTCTGAAAATGCTGCTGTAGATTAGAATATATAATGACACGGGGGATGGCTGTGATTGTAATCTCACATTTCTATTATGAAAAATGTCAAATACACAGAAAACTTGAAGGATGGGAACATGGCAAGCTCTCCACCTGGATTCCATTATTTTGCTTTACGTGACGCATCATTAAGTGCAAACAAATGGATGTGATCTCTTCTGAGAAAACAACCTTCCACAGTATGCAAAGTGTAAAATCTGGAAAGACCTTTGCAGTCTTCTGCATTTTTCGAATGTCTAAGCATGGGTTAATTTTGCAACCAGAAGAAAGAGTTATGTGAAAAGCAAAAAGGAGGTTGGAAGAAAGGTGAAGTCTGGGTGCCCTTCTTGGTGGGGCAGGTGCAGCTGGGTGGAGGTGACGCTGGGGACAGCAATGTCAGGTCAGAGCCCAGACTGTTCCAGGCACTGGTGAAAACAGAGAAGGGGATGGGGAACGGCCTACAGCTGCTTTGGGGAGCCCTCAGCCCTTTTAAGCTTCTGGACACAAACAAGCAGTTTAGGTCAGCACATTCGTGACAATGTCCTACTGTAAGGACTTACTGTTTAGTACTTAGTATTTAGTACTAAGGACTTAGTACTTTGTACTTCATACTAAGAACTGAGTACTCAGTACTTCATACTAAGGACTTAGTACTCACATCAGATTGCGCGCTTGGATTCCTGCTTGCTTAAATGTGTTAAGATTTGTTAATATCAATACTTATTTTAATGCTCAGATTGTCTTTTTTTATATTTCAGATTGAGGTGAGGGCACACATGATTAGGTTCCGATGTTTGCGTTTGTTAGGTAGAGTCCCTGTTGTAGTTGTGTCCTGCCCCCAGGAGGTGTGCCCTACACCTCCACATTGTGCCCATTAGCTGAGAGCTCACCAATCTCCCTCCCTCCTCCCCTCTTCCTTCTCTCTCCTTCCTCCTACCCCCAACTTAAATTGAATTGCGTCTTTCTCCTACGTGGGCGTATAGTAAATCATCTCTGGCTTCATATCAGTATTGAGTACAATGGATACTTGCTTTTCCATTCTTGTGATACTTTACTAAGAAGAACGCGTTTCAACTCCATCCAGGTCAGATGGTCTTAGATTTGGTCAATGAGAAGCTCTTCAAGGAGGCATCTGTGGCCTCTTAACTCTTTTCTCATCATTCCTTAGCATTTTCCTATTTTTTGGCATGACAAGAAACCTCCACTTCACACACCTTCCATATCTTAGGGCTAGAACCAGCCATTTCTCCCAGGATCCTTGCTTTTCCCTGGAAGAGTCATATTTGGAATTCCAGACCTGGTGGTAGGTAGCCAGTATTACTGGCACCCTCGGAGAAGGAGGGTGTAGATGTGTACTCTGTTAGATCGATGTTTAGTTTTATATCTGTCTATACAGCTCTGTAGATCTCAACCCAGTAAAAACCAGAACGTTGATACCAGCTATTTGTACATCTGCAACTCCCTTCACCCCCAGGGAAGAGGCCGGCTTCCCACACCACCCACCATTTCCTTATTGCACCACCTCCCCACTGTAGCCATCTCCCCACCTCGCCAACTGCCTGCGGGGCCCTAAGTGCATTGGTCACAGTGCTGCACCGCTGTCTCCTCCTGGCCCTGACTGCACTGGCCTGCCCTGAGCAGGTTACCTTCTCTGTGTGTGTCCCTCCCCTACTGATAGTAGTTTGCTCTCTGGGGTCACACTACCACTGTGCGCGGACACAGACACACACAGACACATACGGGGACACACAGAGACACACACTAGACACATACAGAGACACAACCTAGACACAACTTCAGGGAGTGGAATACACCTTGGAAACCCCCTCCTCACAGCATTCCTGCATGTACAGTGTTATTAGTCCCAATTTACAGAGAAAGAAACCGAGACTCAGAAAGGCCCAAGGTCTCACAGGGGTCACACAGCTGGGAGGTGGGGAGTCAGGTCAGGCAGACTCCGCCTGGTGAAGCTCCCGCCACCTCGTGTGCTGCTTTTAGGGGTTCCCCCCTGACGACACTAAGAAATACTGGTCGGGCCTCTCTGAGTTCAGCTTGACGTTCTGCCCCCTGTTTTCCCATGTGGTCTCTAGTTCCACTGTCATGAATCACCTGCTCTGATTCACCAGAATCAGAGGCTCCTCACTGCTCCCTCAGTTCCTCAAACAAGCTCCTCCCCTCTGCTCACATCTTTCCTGCACCCCGTCTCCCTGCCGGGGGGGTTCTTCCTCCCACGCCCCCGTTCCCCTGCTCTCTGAGAAGCCTCTGCTCCCCTCCCTCTGGGCTCTATCCCCAGGCTTGCTTAGGACTAACTTTCTCCCTTTCAATCAGCAATTCACACTTGTCCAAGACTCAGGAAGCTACAAAGGGTGCCCAGTAAAGAGCCTTCCCCTGTCTCTGGCCACCTGGTTCCACCCTTGAGGCAACCCAAGTCCCTGGTGCTTGTGGAGTCTGCCACCTACAAGCACAGGATGACTCCCTCAGTGTCGTGCACCCCTTTTTTTGTTTCCTACTCTACCTATTGTTAGTGGCACCACCACTTGGCAAAGTGTCCTCTGTAACTGAACACAGGCACGTGCGTGACCCAGCAGTTCCACTCGGGGTACATCTGAGGGTTGGTGTCCGTCAGATGACTTCCACATGCACGGTCACACCAGTGCTTTATAACAGCCCAACCTCGACACGGCCTAATGCTGGCTGCATGCTCATAGTTTAAAAAAAAAATGGGATAGATCCAGGCCGTGGAACTCACGATACTACAGAGCAACAGAGAGAGTGGATTACGGTTGTTAATGGAAAAAAATAAGTGAATCTCACAGCCTTTTCTCCCAGTGTTTTCAAGCATGGGGAGGGTGACACATCATGACTGGATTTACATGCTTCTGGGTCACCTGAGGTGCTGTATGGAAAGTGACTTGGGTGTAGTTATGACCCAGCCAGGGGAGCAGGTGCTGACCCCCCAGGACGGCCTCCACCTGTGGTGTGGGAGAGACTCCAGCACTTACTGGACACAATGGAACCAGATCTTGAGAATGATAAAGGGAATGCTTCTTACTGTGTAATGCATGAAAAATGTGACTTTGACTTAACGGAAGCCAGAAATGATGGGTGAGCCTGTGTGACCGCTGCAGTGCTGCTGGGAACAGGCAGCCGGCAGAGCTGCTCTCAACACACCAGGCTTTGGGGAGGAGGCCAGCTGGGGTTAGGGAGGGTGGCTGGCCAGCGGGAAAAGAGGAACGTGCCATCTCTATTCCAGCTAAAGGAAGACGGTGGCCAATACCTCTCCCCGCCGCCTTCCCAGTTCCTAGCCTAGAAAAGGAAAAGATGATTATCGTGTCCTGGGTCTCAGACTACTGGGAATCACTTTGCAAAAATACTAACACTTCTCTGCTTCTGAGGGCTCCTGTGTGTCAGCACAGCCTCTCAAAGCCTCTGCGTGCAGGTTTCATGCGGCTTCTTTCCAGGAAGATGTGGTTCTCAACACTGCACACTCAGACTCCCCGAACTTGCTGTGTCCCCCACCCCTTTTCTCGGGTTATTTAAACTGTCTCATAGAGGCTGGGCGCAGTGGCTCACACCTGCAATCCTAGCACTCTGGGAGGCCGAGGCAGGTGGATTGCCTGAGCTCACAGATTGGGAGACCAGCTTGAGCTCAGAGTGAGACCTCATTTCTAAAAATAGCCAGATGTTGTGGCGGGCCCCTGTAGTACCAGCTACTTGGGAGGCTGAGGCAAGAGAATTGCTTGGGCCCAAGGGTTTGAGGTTGCTATGACATATGACACCTTGGCACTCTACCGAGGGTAACAAAGTAAAACACTGTCTCAATAAATAAATAAATAAATAAAATAGTCTCATAGAAACAGGCTGCAATACAGCTGGCTGTCAGCAGGAGGCACTCTCTGAAACGTGCCTTGTACTTGACTGAGCATTTCAGAAGTTCAAGGTTCAGGGTTCTCAAATGGGTACTGTGGCCCTGCTGTATTAGCTGATGAGATCCAATTCTGTTAAATAAGTTTGCTTAAAAACAAAGACATCTGTATTAACCAATGACTGGAAGTAACCCAAGTGTCCACCCACAGTAGAATGGCTAAATCGATTGTGCCATATGCACCCAGTGGAATGCCAGGCAGCCGGGGGAAGGGTCAACTATTGCTACGTGCAACATCTTGCGTGAATCTCACTAACAAGGTGAACCAATATAAATCAGACACAAAACAGTGTTGCCATTTCTATAAAGTTCAAACCCTGGCAAGCGTAATCACTGGTGATGGGAATCCTGAGAGCAGTTACCTCCAGTCCAGTGGGTAGCACAAGAGAGTATTTGGGGGCGGTAGTGTGTGTTTCTTGATTTGGAGGCTGGTCTCATGCGTTGGACACTCATGTACACTTCCTGTGTGTATGTTATCCTTTAAAAAAGATGTGTCAGCACAAAACTTCAATTTGGTTAACCGCGGTCCTGTCCTCCTGTCCTCCCCACAGATTGATGAAGCCTGTGAGCTGAAAGCCATCGAAAAAGAGAAGAAGGTGGCAGCTCTGCCCCCCAAGGAGGCCTGCAAGTGCCACAAAGAGGATTTGGCCAAAGCACTTTGCGTAAGAATGCAGTTCGCATTTGGCATCTGATGTGACTATTATAAGCTTTTTAGATTTAAAAGAAAGTCACACGAGAGGCTGCTGTGAAATGCTGAGTTATTATCCATCTTTATCATCAATGTTGGAAAGCGTCCCTGGACACTGAGGGTAGATCAGCAGCGTTGTTGTCAACACAGGGGTCCATAAAGTTGATGTGCAATTGAAAATAGACAACTATTTTACTTTGCACTTGAACTTTGCAGACACCGGCTAGTGCTAACTCCCCAGGAAGCCCTTCCCAGAAGACCTGCGTCCTTCCACCCACTCAGTGTGCATTATTTCTCTTCATGCTTTTACTCGCAGGCAAAAACACAGACGCCTTAGAATGATGTAACTGACGCAGGTTGGAGGTAGCACAGCCCTGGGCGGGGCGGTCCCTGTGAGATCTTTTCATTTTCTTTACTTAGAAAACTGAGCAAACACAATGGGGCGCAAGTGCGTGTGTACACACTCACCGCACGCTACACTTTGGGAACGCAAATAAGAATCCACCAGTAAAAGAGCGAGGGCTACAATTTCAAGGAAGTTGGATGCTGATGATTCACACCCATCTTTTCTTAAGAATAATCCGAAAGTCTGTTTAAACTCAAGTCCTACTGATTTTTATTTGGAGAAGGGGAGGGGATATTTTTTTCCCTATCAAGAAAATGAGCTGGGGGGCGGTGCCTGTGGCTCAGTGGGTAGGTCACGGACCCCATATACTGAGGGTGGCAGATTCAAACCCAGCCCCAGCCAAAGTGCAACAAAAAAATAGCCAGGTGTTGTGGTGGGTGCCTGTGGTCCCAGCTACTCAGGAGGCTGAGGCAAGAGAATCCCCTAAGCCCAGGATTTGGAGGTTGCTGTGAGCTGTGACACCACAGGACTCTACTGAGGGTGATAAAGTGAGACTCCATCTCTTAAAAAAAAAAAAAGAAAGATAGACTATTGGATTCCCCCCCCCCCCATTCAATCTAGAAATTCATTCAGCTCTCCCGGTCACCTTTACCACCAAGTATAGCTCCCTGTTGTTGAGCTTTTAAAAACAAGGACGCCCTTTGTTGTAACCAAAATAACAAAGTTTCCTTCCATTATTATTAGCCCAAATGAGCTATGTTTAATGAATTTGTTAATGGAAAGAGCTTGGAATAGTGTTTGAATGAATACACAATATAATAGTTTTAGCTATTATTTTTTCAGACAACAGGCCTTTTTAGGCTTTTTAAAAAATTTTTTGATTGTGATAAAACAAACCACATAAAATTTCCCATTTTAATCATGTTTAAGTGTGCATTTCAGTAATGTTGAGAACACATTATCATACAACCATCAGCATTACCCATTTCTGGAATTCTTTTCATCTTACAACTGAACTTCTGTCTCCACGAAACACTAACTCCCCATCCCTTTGCCCCCAGCCCTTGACAGGCCCTCATTCTACTTTCTGTCCCTCTGAATTTGACTATGCTGGGGACCTCATATAAGTGGCATCGGACAGAATTTGCCTTTTTGTGACCGGCTTATTTCATTTTGACCTCAAAGTGTAACTTTAAGGTTCATCTATGTTGTAGCCTGTTTTAGAATTTCTGAATTTTAAGGCTAAACAATATTGTATTGCAGGAATATCCCACATGTCATTCATTCATTCATCTATGGACAGTTGGGTTGCTTCACCATTTGGCTATTTTGAGCCCTG